GGTCAGATTTATATATAGCTCCCATATATATTTTCCTCCGATTTAAGGTAAATGGGTCTCCAAAGTCCCTATATATCTTTGGATTTGCACAAAATTTAACACAGCGTACGGAATAAGGTCCAGAACGATGTGTGTTAACTTTTGTGTAAATCGGTTCAGATTTAGATATAGCACCCATATATATTTTCGTCCGATAGATAAATGGTTCGAGAAAATCGGGTCAGATTTATATATAGCTCCCATATATATTTTCCTCCGATTTAAGGTAAATGGGTCTCCAAAGTCCCTATATATCTTTGGATTTGCACAAAATTTAACACAGCGTACGGAATAAGGTCCAGAACGATGTGTGTTAACTTTTGTGTAAATCGGTTCAGATTTAGATATAGCACCCATATATATTTTCGTCCGATAGATAAATGGTTCGAGAAAATCGGGTCAGATTTATATATAGCTCCCATATATATTTTCCTCCGATTTAAGGTAAATGGGTCTCCAAAGTCCCTATATATCTTTGGATTTGCACAAAATTTAACACAGCGTACGGAATAAGGTCCAGAACGATGTGTGTTAACTTTTGTGTAAATCGGTTCAGATTTAGATATAGCACCCATATATATTTTCGTCCGATAGATAAATGGTTCACCAAAGACCCAAAGTTAGGCCGATTGACAATAATTTGGCACAACGTATTGAATATAATATAACCTAGCTTGAAGCAACCCTGTATCTGACCAAGTGAAAAATTTAGTATATGTTGCAGAATAGCATGTTTATGGATCCAATTTCATTTTACAGGTCCTTCAAAAACTCGACGTCTGTTAGGATTCATCTGTTGAATATGCCCAGAGTGGTGAAGGGTATCATATAGTCGGCCCCGTCCGAATTTACTACTTTCCTTACTGGTTAACATTGAGCATATATTTTTGAAACTGAAAGTTCACAAGTGCTGAACAAATGTCACGTACACTGGTTGACCGATTAGGAATACTTGTCTACAGGATATCTGTTGAATAAATAAAATACAGTTGTAAACACACAAAATGACAGACTGACTTTTTAGGTTATCAAGTCAAATGTGTGTGTATGTAAACAAACATCAGCTGACAATTTAAAATATTCTCAGTCTTAAAGCGGATTTAAATATAAAATTTAATCATGATTAAAGGCCATGGTACAATTATAAAAGGTAACAGTAAATCCCAGCTGATTTGATTCCAACGTTGTACTAGTGTCAATATGAATTTGACAAATTATGTTTTTAAAAATCACCCAACAGGGAAATTGGGAACGCATACAATTTAAAATTGTTCTTTATTAAATGTGCTCCTGTATTCAATTTACTCAATCTGCCTGCTGGTAAAGTTTGAGGAAGCAAATCTTTCTTCAAGGAATAACTCGCTATTCCCAGCAATTCTCAATTATAGGAAAGGTGTGGAATAGATAGAAATATAAATTTGATAGATTTTTATTCATGTTTTTCAATTTTTATTTTGAGGATTCGAAAATATTTCATTTTCAAAATAAAAATAATTTGATGATAATTTGTTTGTTTATTTACATTTTTCTGTCAAATGAGTTGACACTAGTAGAACTTACAACAACAAAATTCCATGTGGTTGTTGTATCGTTTTTTGTACAACAACACTTGCTGTTACCTTCTATTATTATACCATGATTAAAGGCTTAATCAGGGTTAATTTTCTTAATCTGAATTCACCATGTTTTATCATACAAATTTAAATTATCGTGCGGCAGGGTTTATTTTAAATCATGATACTAATGAGATGCAACGCAGTTTTTTGTACGAACAAACACAACTCTCTCACAATGTACTAAAATTTGCAACTGTTTTCACGGTTGCCAAATAAAAAAAATGAAAGATCAAAGAAAAATAAAAATTATTTATAGAATTTTTGCATTGCAAAAACATTTCCATTGTTGTAATTCTTATTTTCATTTTCAAATTGCAAACAAATATTTTTTGGCGCAAGTTAATAATTTTGTATGTATTCTAACAAACATCAGCTGATCGACATTTAGATCATGATTCAAGGTATGTGTAAAAAATTAGGGGGTAGTTCGGGATTTCATTAATCGAGTCGATTTGAAATGGTATATATAAATGTTTTACGTAAATTGTTATGACAAGGATTTATGGTGTGTTTAGACTATGCCTTTTAAATCGACGTACTAAAACCGAGCCGTTTAGGCTAGTATTAAAATCACTATAATTCAAACAGCTGATATTTGTTTACGTATACATACACATTTCTATTTTCACGTAGCTGCCCATTATTTTCCCAATTCTAATAGGAATTAATGTTGCAGCAAAGGTGCGATCTAATACAACACGGAAACTCGGCGTCGAAAAGCTGCAAACACAACAGGTAACCAAGAAACCCATGGTACGATCAGGAGTGTCGTAATGCTACTGATGTGAAAAACGCAGCGTATAGGGCAACCCTGCCGACAGTAGCAACTCGTAACGTGATGGAGAATTATCGGGAAAAAAGGAGAGAGGAGAAATGTGTTTTCAGAAAAAAAAGAAAGAACAAGAAAAACGTGAGCGTGAGCAAATCGAGATGTACAGGAGTCAGAATGAAATACGAGTAAAACACCAAACCGAAGGCTTTGGTGCAGGTACATCCTCCTGTAGAGATGAAGAAGGAAACCTGGTGACAGATACAGACAGCGTGTTGAGGATCTGGAAGGAACATTTCGAAAAGCTTCTAGTATCAAATAGTGGCGATGAAGAAGATACTCCAGAACCAATAAGATATGATGGTATAGAGTGTATACCACCTAGCCAAGATGAGGTCATAAAAGCAATTAATCGGCTCAAGAACAACAAAGCAGCAGGAGCCGATGGGTTACCAGCCGAACTATTCAAGACTGGTGGCCACATGCTGGTCAGGAGCATGCACCAGCTAATTAGCACAATTTGGCCAGATGAATGCATGCCCAATGATTGGAACCTCAGCATCCAATGTCCCGTGCACAAAAAAGGAGACAAGACGATATGTGCCAACTATAGAGGAATAAGTCTTCTTCCCATCGCATATAAAGTGCTAACCAGTGTGCTGTGTGAACGATTGAAGCCAATGGTCAATTTTTGGACCATACCAATGCGGTTTCAGACCTGGCAAATCCACCATTGACCAGATTTTCACTCTGCGCCAAATCCTAGAAAAGACCCACGAAAAACACATCGACACATACCACATAATTGTCGACTATAAAGCCGCATTCGACAGCCCCATCCGTTCAGAGGTGTTTAAAGCCATGTCTACGTTCGGCATTATTGCATAATTAATACGGCTATGCAGGATAACTTTAAGTGGCACAAGGTCAGCAGTTAAAGTAGGAAAGGACCTATCGGAGCCCTTCAATACCGAAAGAGGATTCAGACAAGGTGACAGTTTGTCGTGTGATCTTTTTAACATCCTACTGGAAAAGGTCATACGAGACGCAAAGGTGAACAGAAATGGCACTCTGTACACCAAACAACACCATTTACTCGCCTACGCCGACGACATCGATATAATGGGTCGAACATTGCGAGCGGTAACAGCCACCTTTGAACAAATTGAAAAGGAGTCTGCCAAAGTGGGTCTGGTAGTAAACGGCGATAAGATCAAGCTGATGGTATCAACGCGCAAGACGTCCAGTAGACTCGGACCAACTGTGGAACTTGAGTGCTACAGCTTCGAGGTAGTTAAAGACTTTATATGTCTTGGTACCGCCATAAATAAAACGAATGAAATCAGTTTTGAAATTCGGAGAAGGATTGTGATGGCCAACAGATTCTACTATGGCCTAAGTAAGCAGTTTAGAAACATGGCCGCTGATACTACCCGTGCTATCATATATATATATATATCCACTCGATCCACTGGATTTGTGAACAGGATTAAGGTGACGTATACGCAAAGGAATTTACATTTGAGATCGAGTGGATTTAGTAGTCTAAACATATCCTAAATCACCTTTATGGTGGAGGGTATGAATATGTATTTGTCTATTTAGAAAAAAAAATCGAATTGTATTTTAGTGTAATAAAATAAATGTACTTCCGCTTCTGCAAATAAATTAACAAAATTTTATTACAATTCATATTTATTTAAAAATCTAACAGCATAGGCAATTCTTCAGAGAATTCTCTTGTCTTGCAACGAAAGTGAATTTGCAACAAATGCAAATTGCAACGAAGAGATCGACAAAACCTGAGAGAGGGGGAATGGATTCGAATCGAAAAAAGAAAGTGCATTTACTGAACACCAGAACCGTGGAGATCAACAAACGACATTTAGCAGCGATCGTGGACGGAACATAAACGGGAAACCAAACAGCAAGCAAATCGTGGCAAATTTTGCAGTGAATACGTTTGTGGCCAACAACTAAAAATAAAAAATAAATATAAAAACGAAATCGAAAATAAGGAATAAAAATAATCTAGAAAATTCAAATTTAAAAAAAACAACTTTAAAAATTTTCCATCTAACGAAAATAAGGACTTTTCCTCAAAGGATCTACAGTTTTTGTCTACTTTTTTGTTATCTAACATTTTGCCAATAACCTCTGACGCTGTGGAGCTGCAAAAGGATAAAGCGCTTGAATTCCTGCGCGTTTTAGCCTTTGTCCTTTTATTTTTGATAATATCGCTATATCTGTATCGTTTTACATTTTAAAACGCAACCAACAAAAAACATCGAGGGGTTCCTAATAGAACCCATTTTCGATTTTCTTGCTGAAAAGAAAAAGGAACAAAGGTACATCTATGTTTGAGTGCCATGTTCAAGGCCATTATGTAATGTCAAGAATAGAAAACAACAAAAAAACTAATTAATCATTATGAAAAAATTTTGTTTCTTTTCTTTCTCGTAATTTTGTTGAACGTCACCGATGTTGTTGTTGTCTGTGGACTCGGACGTGTTACACGTGTTTATGGCTGCTGTTATTGAACATCGTAAAGGTTTCATTGTTGATTTGCCTGAAAAATGGCGGCTAAAGTTCCGGCCGTTGGCATCGACTTGGGTACGACCTATTCATGTGTTGGCGTCTTTCAACATGGCAAAGTTGAAATCATTGCCAATGATCAAGGCAATCGTGTTACCCCATCATATGTGGCATTCACCGATACGGAACGTTTAATCGGCGATGCTGCCAAAAATCAGGTGGCTATGAATCCAAATAATACCATTTTTGGTAAGTAAGAAGGAGTGTGGGCTGAAAATGCAGCTTGCAGATAAGTGTTAATTGTGTTTGAAAGCCATAATGTAAACGCACAAATTTCACAAATTAACCTACTTAATGTAAATGCGTTAACGGATTATTATTTTGCATGCAAGTTATCAAACCGAGTAAATTAATGGCTTATCGAGTTAATCACCCAATTATGATATGTAATGAATTAGACGTATAAAATGGATAATTGACAATCTAAATGGCGTGTTTTATTAAAATAAATTGAATATAAATATGTCTTTAAAGCGCGTTTAGATAACTTCAGAATTATTTTTATAAATACAGTAGGTTATATTTAACGTATATGATTAGGCGCGTTTAGACTATAGTTTTAAACGCGATAATGTGCATTACCTCGATTTAAATGCTAAATTGAGATGCATTTTCCTCGACTTAAACCGCATATACATTAACCTATTCATGATGGTTTATTTGGCATATATGCAATGGAATTGATAGTTTAAACCCATACTCTATCAATTATTTTCAATGAAAACAAGCTTAGCGTAAATTTCAAAGGAAGTTTTTTCATTAAGATCTTGAAAACTGACTGTTGTCAAAAGTAAAATTTAGAAAAAAATTGGAAACATATGACTGCATAAGACTATCTTGTATAATTGTGCCATATCTTTGGGTTAACGACATCCAGTACAATGTAAACGTACAATTACCATATAAAATCAAAAAAATGCATTATCTCGATTTGATTGCAATCCAAGAGTGCGTATAGACTTATAAACATCACTTGATTTCAAATGTCAATTCCATAGCGTATGCGTGCCAAATCCAGTGGATTATATTTGACGTATACGCTATGGAACTGTCATCTGAGATCGAGTGAATTTTGTAAATCTAAACGCGGTACAATGCCAAATAAACATAATTTGTTTATGTCTCGACCATCTGTCAATTTTTTCCATATAATATTTCACATGGTTGGCAACACTGCTAATCGAATTCAAGTAGAAATTACCCACTTTGACAGTTAATCAAGACATCAGCTGTGCTAAATGGACTACCTATTCAATGTGCCATGAATGTAACCCTGGTTTTGCACCAAAAATGCATCACTTCTCCTACAAGAGTATACCAAAATGACAACCCTTAAAAATTAAAAAAAAAACAATATGCATAACAAGAATATGACATCTGACAGTAAATATTACTATAATATAAAACAGCAAATTTTTATATGTATTCTTAACCGAATGAAGATAAGAATTATGAATGAAATGTAACAGTATAAGTAACCAAATAACAGCTGATGGTTTATTACTAAAATATTGCAGATTTAGAGTATTTTTAAACGCGAGGAACTAAATCCTGATTGGTTAGACAAGTAAAATTATATGGAGCTGTCAGTCAGCTGATATTTGTTAATGTAGCTGGTCAATATTTTCATAATTCGAATGGGAATTTCTTCTACATCAATTGAAACATGTATATAAATAAGTGTTGTTTTAAAATAAATTTATTTTGATGCTCCTGTTTTTTGTCAGACAACTCTTCTCAATTTGAATGTATTTTAAAGTAAACAAAAGGCATACATTTGACACTTTTAGGGGAAGTGATACATTTTTGATCTTACATTTAAGCGATATTTTTTATTATCAATAAATTTGTGTCTAAAGGACTTGAAAATCCGTTCATCAACAAAAATATATAGGATGCAAAATCCGTATTCGTACCCCTATAATAAACATGACAAATCATTAATAATTCGCGATATCTTATGTAAAAATTATAACGAATACCGTTTATAACGAACTTTCTTTATAGCGAACATATTTGCTGGGCCAAAGTCTTAAGACATATTTATACAAATCTTTGCTCTTATAGCGAATTCTTTTATAACGAACTATGTATTCGGTCCCATCTTTCATTTATTTTAATTCGGTTATAACGAACTTAATATAAATATATAGAAAACACTTAACGATGACAAACCGGCTTAAAAATTAATTTATAGATAACGCTGGCAACCTTCGCATTATTCGCACTAAAGACGCATCCAACCTTCTGTAATTGGCGCACAACAGGCTTAAGGGCTAAGCAGAATGCTCGCGTTGAGCCATCCGTCGCGTTATATGTTATCGAAAATACAACAACCACAAGGAAGCGATAAAAAACGCATATAGTTTCCTTGTGGTTGTTGTATTTTCGATAACATATAACGCGACGGACGGCTCAACGCGAGCATTCTGCTTAGCCCTTTAGTGTTTGGGACGGTAATTGGTAATTGGCCTACGGTAATTTGTAATTGGCTTAGTGTTTGGAACGGTAATTTGGAAGTGGTGTTATAACTCAAACAGTGCATCAGAAATTTGGATATAAAAGTCGGCATGCTGTCAGAAAACCTTATATTAGCGGCATTATTAAGCAAAAACAGAACATCAAACGAATAAAGGGGGAAACACATAAGAGGACTTCAGAATTGGCATCCTTTTTCGCCGGCGTGAAACCCAAACGAAAGAGATAGCGGCTAGCGGCACAAAATGTCAATTATTTGTTTTAATTTTCTGGCAGAATATTATACGTTGTGCAGATCAAATTTGATTGTGTTTTAGTAATCAGGAGATTCCGTATTATTCAAAATGTCGTATTTTTTAATTTTCCTTCCTTTCTACCGTCGCTGACTCTAGACTCTCTGGTTATATTTAGAGTCTTATTGTAAAAGAATAAAGAAGAATAGCGCTCAAATTCAGATTTGGCACCCATATTCCTTAATAAATTGACATTTCATACAAATCCAACTTAAGAGGCTCGGCCGGAATCCTCGGATGTGTTTCTCACTTAATGTCTATACTTCTGAAAAAGTGTTGTTTTTATGGATGAGTCCAAACTCAATAGGAAACTTTTGGATGGATGCGTACAAATTTGGCGAGACAACAACAAGCTAATCTCGTTATAATCTCATTCCCACATTCAAGCATGATGGCGGCTCAGCGAAGGTATGGATGTGTTTTTCTGCAGAAGGAATATATAAACATTTTCAAGCTAAACATGGAATAAAGTTCAGTGATGATGGGGATCTCGCTGGCCTTCGTCTTCGTCTTCGTCTTCCCAAACTTACTACGTAAGATTCCAGAACCTTTGGATCCTGTCCTAAATACCTCAAAACATCACCCAAGGCTCAGATAATAATCCTTTTAGGAATGTGTGCTTAATTTTGAAGAAAACGTTGAAACATTAAAACACCAGAAACGCGAAGGACCTGAAAATGGCTTTAACAAGTGAAAAAGCATTAAGTTCAGCCGTGCCGAACATTGAATACCCTCCACCATATATGCACTGACAGTTATGCGGTGTACACACTATCATTTTTGAATGGCACTCTTGCCCAAATTTTGCTTGTTTGATAGTGTGGCCTTACATGTCCGTCATTCACAAGGCAACCACAAAAATATTTATGGTTGTTGGACAGTCAGAAATCGATAAAAAAGTTGACAGTCAAAAATGATAATGTGTACACCGCTTTACTAGACATAAAAGTTTCAACCCCACGTAGCTTAAAACTCCGATATAATCAAAAATGGGTAACATTTTTAGGTAGGGGTTATTAAACATAAATTAACATGTGTCTAAAATCCTCAGAATACAGAGGGCAAAATATATGAGTACTACCATAAAAAGTTGGCCGATGTTGATATATTTTAGTAAAGAGATTTCATAGCAAATATGAATCCCAAATATCAAATTGCAACCATTTCGTTTGAAAAACGTGTCCAAACTTCCCAAATGAGGGTATCTTTATATCGGGTCTATTTCACAAAAAGTGAACCGGTATTGATAATGTGGAGATTTATTACCCATTAAAAACACAAAGTACCAAATTACAGCGAATTCAGTTGCAAGATGCGCTCAGAAACCACAAAACGCGGAACTTTTGCGGGTATCTTTATATGGCGGTACCCGAAAAAAATACATAGATGGGGGAAATTTGCGAGTACCGTTATATGGGGACTATAGATCGATATAGCCCATCTTCGAAATTAACCTGGATATAGTGATTACAACAGAGCGGGTGTGTCAGGCGGATGTGTCTAATTTTAGAATTTTACTCCGATAAGGAATATTTATACTTTTACATAGAGGGAAGTTGAAAATGGCTTCCGAGACAGGCGGGGTCTTAAACTGTGTTAATCACAATTGAAATTGTTTAATAATTGTCTGTGTACTTATAGCAATACCCTCGACTACAGTCCTAAAGCCGTCCACATCTGTACGAGATTTTGGCTCGCTATTGCTGGATGATGAGGGGTCGTTGTTTGTCGACTTGCTTATATTTGTTATTCCGTTTGCAACACCCTCAAATATTCGTCGGGGATTCCATAGGATACATATAAATAATCAGAATAAAATTCCATGTAGATTTAGCCATGTTCGTCTACTGCAATCACATTTGGATCGCAATATTTAAGATAAACCTTTAATTTGTTTGACCTACATTGCTACGACTTTGAGAATTGATGTATATCGCTCCACGTTTTGATATACCCTCCTTATAACTATGCTTCTCATTATTGGGTATTTTCGTCACGTTTTCCAACTTTGTCTGTAGTTCGGTATTTTAGTTATCCTTGCAGCAATTTTTGTTTACATTGGAGTCTCAATACTTCCGAGATTTTGTTGCAAATTTTAATCTTCTATTTTATAATAACAATATTTTTGTAATATATTTTCCTCAAATACCTTATTTACAATGTTCTTCTAATGATCTTGGTTGTTTGCTTTTGTCGTTTCCTCTTGTGTCTATAGATTATGAATGTCCGCCTGTTTGTCCTCAATCAATTCAAGCATAGATACTAAATATAATTTCTCGATAGTTGATGCGGGTGCAACCGCACCAACCTTTCAAAAAGGCAACCATCATTATGATGTCCATTGCCATCGCTGTCATTATCAGCGCCCGCCACATAAACAGAAAAAGGAAAAAACGCCAACAAATGATTGAATGTCTC